TTATAAAGCCAATAACCTAAAAGAGCTACGGAATGGCCCGAAAAAACGCGACTGCTGTGCAAGATTCTCGGAGATCACCAAGAGGGATGGATACAGATTATCCATCCTCTGGGCGAAAGAGAAGCCATGGTAAAACTGATGATTTACAATGAGAATACCGAGGGGGCCCACAACCTGCGGGACTCATTAATCCAGCTGGGACACGCGCGACTCATCGATGACGCCGCGGCAGACGTATTCCCCCACTTGTAAAATGAGGGGGAGCCTTTTATTTAACCACATTTTTTTTCTCTTAACATAGAAATACATATATAAAATTATAAAAATATATATCCTATAGTATTAATAATAATATTCTCGCATTCATACACACATACACACAAGTACACAGGTAAAGAGGGTTTGGAGTCGTTAAATACTGTGGGAGTGACGAACCACAGGGTCCTGATCTTTACCTGCGACACTTTCTGAACTTTGTATACCTATATTATTATTATCAAAATGTGAAATGTTTTATTTTTCGCTTTTCCTCTCTAAATATCTTGGACTAAAATTTCATCCAAAAAATAAAGTGATATCCATATTATTCAAAGCAGGGTGACTTTTTATTTTTATAGAGTGAAATTTTTCTATTTTTAAAAGTTCTCATTTTATAACTGAATTTAATATTCACTCTATATGATATAATGAAGGATTTACTCGAAAAAGAGCACTCATTCGATGCATTGAAAAATACATGCTAATAGACTGAAACATTGGCTTATATGGATTGAAAGTTCCCTGTATGAGTGTAGTTAAATATTTGTTTTTGTAAAAAATGAAATGTCATTCTCTCGGAATAGCAGAATTATCACTATTATTTCAAGTGAAGTTTCATTAGTTTCGAATGGAATTTTATTCCACTTTTTTTTTTATATTTGTGAAAGAATCATTTTATAAAGTATGATTTTAAAGTTAATTCCTTTCTGAATCCACTTTGGTATATCTACAATGTGGGATTCGACATTTAAAAAAATGAATAAATTTCACGGAATCCCAGTGCTGCGGGGAATAACATAGTCCTCATACCCAGGATTATGAGCGAAGAGGTGAAGACCACAACAACAATCAAGGCAAAATAGATTTTATACACTAACGACAGTTTTGGCGCCTTTGGAAGAGGAATCCCATTCCCAGAATTAAAAAGATGGGAAAATAAATTTTACAAGTCTAGTATTTTTAGATCATTTACAAATGGCTAAGCAATGAGTTGCATGTTTACGTTAATATAGCAAAACAAATCTTGTGGGAATTATATCAAAAATATTACATATACAATTAAATTGAAAGCATCAGAGTTGAAATAGAAAACATTAGTCAAAGAAGAGAAATATGGTAATAATTTTGTTTATAAATAATATAATAAAGGTTATTTATTTTCTTGGACTAAATACTTTAAGGACAAGATTTAATCTATTTAATTACTTTTGACATAATGGTTAAATTAATTTTTTTTAAAGCAATGAGAGAAACGTGAACATGGATATTGATGGTTTATTCGGATGGAACTGCCTTTTGCAATATAATATGTTATTGAAGAGTATTAGAATATCTGTCATCAACAAATATAATTCAAATTGGAATCAAAATGAGGAGGAAGAGTCGGTTAATGATGCTGAATTGCAGATTTTATTAGAGCATCATACAAAAGTTTATAATAATTTGGCAGCTGCGTTGATTAAAACAGAAGCCTACGATGCAGCTTTAGAAAATGTGAAACATGTTTCGAGGTGTCAACCACAAAATGTTAAAGTACTATTTAGGAAAGGTATTGGAGAAATTCTAATCTTCGTTTTATTTACTTTATTTAATCTTTTTTTTAATAAGTTGTATATATTCTTGAGTTATATTTTACATATGGAAAATTCAAAACAATACAAATATGTGTGTATATATATTGCGCGCATCGTAAGAACAATATTAAGACACAATGGGGAATATGCAAAAGCTTATGCAATCTCTCTCTCTCTCTCTCTCTCTCTCTCTCTCTCTCTCTCTCTCTCTCTCTCTCTCTCTCTCTCTCTCTCTCTCTCTCTCTCTCTCTCTCTCTCTCTCTCTCTCTCTCTCTCTCTCTCTCTCTCTCTCTCTCTCTCTCTCTCTCTCTCTCTCTCTCTCTCTCTCTCTCTCTCTCTCTCTCTCTCTCTCTCTCTCTCTCTCTCTCTCTCTCTCTCTCTCTCTCTCTCTCTCTCTCTCTCTCTCTCTCTCTCTCTCTCTCTCTCTCTCTCTCTCTCTCTCTCTCTCCTTATTCTTTCTCTCTCTCTCTCTCTCTCTCTCTCTCTCTCTCTCTCTCTCTCTCTCTCTCTCTCTCTCTCTCTCTCTCTCTCTCTCTCTCTCTCTCTCTCTCTCTCTCTCTCTCTCTCTCTCTCTCTCTCTCTCTCTCTCTCTCTCTCTCTCTCTCTCTCTCTCTCTCTCTCTCTCTCTCTCTCTCTCTCTCTCTCTCTCTCTCTCTCTCTCTCTCTCTCTCTCTCTCTCTCTCTCTCTCTCTCTCTCTCTCTCTCTCTCTCTCTCTCTCTCTCTCTCTCTCTCTCTCTCTCTCTCTCTCTCTCTCTCTCTCTCTCTCCACTGAAATTCAAAAATTAAATCCAGAAATGAAGATATTTACTACAGAATTAATTACCTTAAAGGATAAAATAATTAAAAATGCAGAAAAAAAGCACCTATATCATAAAATGTTAGGTGTAGTTGAAGATACTAAACATCCGTCAAAAAATATAAAAGTAGATGATAAAAGTAAGTAATTGAGTAAAGGATATAGGTGCTTTTCTTTTTCTGTCTTTATCAATTTTATCCTTTAAAATCATTAATTTTGTAATAAATATCTTCATTTCCGGATTTAATTTTTGAATCAGTTGGAAGAGAGGGAGAGAGAGAGAGAGAGAAAGAGAGAGAGAGAGAGATTGCATAAGTTTTGCATATTCGTCTTTGTGTCTCAATATTGTTCTTACGAAACGCACAATATATATACACACATATTTGTATTGTTTCTACATACGAATCAAAACGTTTTTCTCTAAAGTGCTTAGTTTTTGAAAGAAAAGGGGTGTACGGGTGGTCTAGAACACCCTGTATATTATTAATTATTTTCTTTATACCAATTGATTTGTTTCATTATTCTGTACATAAAAGTATCATAGTAAGATTATCGAAAAGTAAATATTTTACGAGATATTTTATTTTTTATATCAAAATACGTCAGATTAAAATATAAAATAACTCAAAAAGTACTTAATAAAAAAATACTTTATTATAGTGTTTTGAAAAGCTCTCGAGATAAGCTAAACAAGAATATGCAATAAAAATGGAGGTTTCCATTTAAGAAATTAAAGGTGATCTTCATGTGACCTTCAAACGACTATAAAAGGTCAAACTAATGGCACCTTCTTATGTCCCTTTCGAGTCAATTAACTTTTGTTTGAAACATTTTTTGCTATAATGTGTACTTTCAGAGATAATAGTTTGTAACACTTTAAATGCCCCACTCTGTATATATATATACGAAAAAACCTGTATATGTATAAAAAAGAGAGAAAGAGAGTTATATTTTAAAATATATATATTTTGTAATATATATTTCACGCATTAACTGCGCGAGATGTAATTATATATAATATCTACAGGGTTGGGAAGTAACGCATTACTTGTAACGTCGTTACCGTTATAGTTACTTTTTTCGATAACTGTAACGGTAACAGCGTTACAAATTTTGTTTGTAACGGAAAAGTTTCGTTACATTTTTCGGAAACGTGTAACTAATTTAACAGTTACTTTTATCGTTACTGTTTTCGAATTTACTCGGTATAATTTTCATACAAAGGAATATATTGATAAGAGTGTTAGAATGCAGCATTACATGAAAACTACTGGAAGCTTATTCTGGTATCTTGTTTCTTTCTACTTTGTAAGATAATGTTTAAAAACTTTTAGTGTTTAATTTCATCTTGTATTAAAAAAAAATTGTATGTAAAGTTTGTGTTATATATAAAAAAACTAATGGAAATTGTAACGACTAGTTACTTTTTGAGTAACGGTAACGGTAACGAGTTATTTTTTAAAATTGGTAACGAGTAACGGTAACGAGTTACTTTTTAGAAAAAAGAACGGTAACGGTAACGAGTTACTTTTATAAAGTAACTTTCCCAATCCTGAATATCTATAATATCTATATTGATATAATCAGAAATAATTAGATCAAAAATTAAAATTAAAAAACAAAATAAAAATAATATTTAAGTAACAAAATTTGACCAACGATGTATCTTGAAGATTTTTTCCAATTGGAAATTTTTATTCAAAAGACCGGATTCATTATTCTCTCTTTTGATAGAAGAAATTAACATGTAGAACATATCTCAAATGCACAAAAAAAATTTCTATTATAAACAAATAGATTATAAATGCGTGTGTATTTATTTTATACAAGATACATATGTAAAGAAATATTGAAGCTGAAATACAAATATCGCAACGTATTTATGTTTAATATATTAATCTCGTATACGCGATTGTGTGCAAAAGGTAAAAAGATTTTCGAGAACACATGCGTCAATTTGTCAATTGAAGGAAGCGATTAAGAATCTGAATAAAATCCTGCTGCTTTGCTACTACTGGATCGTCATGCGCATAACTTTATATAAAGTTAGGCATGCGTTCCGATAAGACAGCGTGCTCTTATGGGTACATCCGAAGCGTCGTAATATGCCAAGAGCATTACGGCATGAATACTAAATAGATAAACACGGCCGATACTTTTTCGAAGGTCATCGCGCGTGAATTCGTCGTCCAGGCATGGCAGTGAACCAGACGGACGGCATATACGCGATCGCATTTCCCTTATTTGTATTCCGCGAGGGAGAGAAATACGTGGTGGTGGGCCATAAGGTAGAGAATCACAAAAGAACCGTACAGATAAGGCACGCTCACCTTGGCGCCAAAGGCACTTGAGAGAACTGGTCTATAAAAGAGACGGACGTACCTCGCGACCCGAACAAACCGAACCGAAATGTCTCGCCCAATCGTCGTCGTGCTCGCGGTCCTGGCGTTCCTGCAGGCCTCCTCCGCTTCGGTCGATCTGTCCGAGACCAAGAATGTCCTGATCGAATTCGCCGACAAGGATGTCGTACCGAAAACAGCGTTGGTAAGTCGGTTTGATGAGATAGTTTTTGTCAAGTTGATCTCGAGATGTAATAGAGAAATCTATAAATAATTATGCAAATAATGCTATTAAATCTAATCTTTTCTCTTTTTTGAAAAGGAATATAAAATATGCAAATTATAAAATGTACGTACGATATGATGTGAAGAGAGAGAGAGAGAGATTATTTTTTAGATTCTTTGACGTCTTTTCATTTGTGATGCCGAGATCTGAAAGAAAAATTTCTGATAACTTAGCTTTTTGATCCTCAATATTGAATCAATCTTTTACATTTTTAATTCCACTTTATATATTTAAATACGACGTGCATCAATTCAAATCTTCTAAAAAATTTCCGTTATCGAATTTTTAGCGAGATAATCCGGGAAAATATTTAAAAATTAATTCATGGATCTCTTATCGCATATGAGAGAGAGTAAAATCTTGCACAGAAAAAATATTATTGAAAAATATTTTCAATGTAATTATCAAAAAAAAAATGTATATCTTATCTCATATTTTTAGAAAAATTTGGTGCCCAATACGTACGTTGCTGGATTCATCGGAAATCTCGAGATTGGAAGACGATATTCCGACGAAACAATTTTCCGCCGAGTTATCGAATTTAACAATCCAACAAACATCGTTCAATCAAGTACTCTGACGCTGACTGTCACTAATAGTAAGGAAATATTGAATAACAGAAATATAACTTAATTCCGTTCAATATGAGAACATTGAGCACATCATATGACCAAAACTTGAAGAGACAGATATTGCTAACGAGAAAAACATATTTATTAAATCATATTATAAGCAGATATAAATTAAACATTAATTTATCATTTTTTGACAATCAGTTGTATCATTAATTGTTGACTTTGAATATTCTTTACGCGCAGGAATCCTTCATTATATTAGCGTAGTGAATGACAATGGCAGCTATGCGGTTATATGCGATGAACCGAATACTCTGGGATCATCCAGGGGCAATATTAATATCCGCGCCTCTCCAAATACGAAATCCTATCTCACGATAATTACGGCAGTGCATTAAGGAAGCACGTATAAAATAAAACAATAATGGGCATTTATTATAGCTCGTGCATTAATTTTTTTTTTTTCAGGAAAATGGAAAAAATTGCATTTGTGTTTCTTTTCTCGAAAAGAGATTTATTAACTGTGATAAGAAAATTTCTGTATTTCAACTGTATCATGTATTTTGCACAAAAATAAAATCCCAATAAGACAACAACAATCGTTATTATCCGTCATTTTACAATCTGTTTACTCTTACACCTATTTTAAAAAATAATTGTTTTCATCTTTTAACAATTTATGTATCAATAGTTTTAATTTATATAAAGATATAAATATATGGTTAGTTCACATAGTTGATAGATTGAATTTCAATTCTTGCAACAATTCTCTAAATAGTAGATAAAAATAGTTGATAAAAGATTGTAAGGTGTAATTAATATTGCGTAACGAGCATTTTTTTCTCTCAGACAAATTCTTTATACAGTTCACGTATCAGCGCGTGTGCATCGTCACACGTGACGAATGCAAATTTATTATAATAACAATTTTTCTCAATGTAATATGTTAATCGCATTACCTAATCGCGCTCATTAGAGAAAATCATTATGACACATTATTATTTTGCAAGAGCAATATTCGCTTTTTAAACATTTTATATTTATACATATTTTATTATACATTTTATATTCATATTTTTATATTTTATATCTTCGATATACTTTATTTATTGTAAATGCGTATCCGCATTTTACATTCACTATATAAATTACAAACCACGTTACTCACAAGTTGTCACCGCGTTATTATATTATCTTTTTTGTCGTTCTCGCTATGTTACGTACGGCTATGTTTCGACTATCTGAAAATGATCCTACATCTATATGGACTCATTAATAATGCACTGTGTCCGGCAAATGGTAATTTTCTTTTTAACAGCGACAAAACAATTTTTAGCGACGCAAAAAAATGTTGACAAGCTGCAGGCGTTTCCACGCGTTCTTTTGAAATTTTTAACTTAGTTCGGCACATTTTGTACCATTACGATCTCGTGGGCGTGAGAAATTTTTTTCCCACATGCACGCGATTACAACTCTTCATTTTAAATTTTCAGCGGCAGAGGAAAAAAAGAAAATGAGAGTCGATGAACTTCGAATAGTCTCGTTTATGTGCGCTTGCTATTATAGTTTATTCATCGAATCCTTTTGTCAGATGAATACGTTCGCACACGAGACGATAATAGAGCATATGTTCTTCCTCTGGTTGCTGCAATATTTACGACGGTGCAATGTACCTTTCACGTTTCAAGAATTTCGTCGGAGGCATGCGTGATAATGATGTTTCGAAAGTGGGGATGATATCGCATCGGGACCGTGGACAGACCAGTGCCCCTTCAGCCAAATGCCATGGACTGTCCAAACAAATATAATGGTCATAACATTCACGGAGGTAAGTGATCATAATGGCTCGGAATAAAATAGAACATGTGTATCTGAACAATTTTAATGATATTTAAATGTGGATTTGGTCTATTCACAATTCTTAAAGATTTTTATATATCATTTACTTGAATCTATTTTAATATGAGAATTATTATTGCCGTTTTTTGTTTTTTCACTTGATATTATCCAGTATTTTTACATAATTGTGGCTAAAGAGATACCAGTATAGTGTTGAAACATCTCACATATGATATATTAAAGAATTTTTTTCAACAATCTAAATGATTTTTTACCAAATTTAACATCCTTCTTTTTGATCGATTTGACCTATAATTTTCTGCACATATTTTTGAAAATAATTATGTTCTTTCTTTTGTGTTATCAGTTAATAGTGTTTCCAAAACAAAATAGTCTTTATATATATGTATATCGTAGTATAAGTGTATATATATAATTTGAGATTAATCTAAATTCTATTTAAACATTTATATACTTTCGATAGATATATGTGTGTGTGTGTGTGTGTGTGTGTGTGTGTGTATGTGTGTGTGTATATATATACATATATGGTGTCCTTTATAACCACTTGAAGTTTGTCGGTCTAATTTTGGGACACCCAGTATACTTTGTCAATCTTATATGTAGTGAACATTTAACTTTAACAATTAAAATGTTTATAGGGAGAAATGTTGATATTCGAGTAAAAGATATTATTATACATCAAGATTTCATTAACCGATCACAAATAGATATAGAATGGGCAATCCGTCTGAATCGCTGCATATTGAGAATCGTCGGTCTTTGGCCGCAGGACAGCAACAACTCACGTGAAACGTTATTACCAAAACTTCGGTTGCTATTCAATGTCATCACGTTGATTTTCGTACTGACAATACCGGCTGTAATGTCACTGATAAGGGTATGGGGCGACATGATACTGATGATAGATAATTTGCAATATACTCTACCTTTGTTGATTACGGTATTGAAAGTCTCTATCATGTGGTGTAAAAAAAAAGGTACATATTATATATATTCGATAAATTATACTTATTTAGAATTCTAATTTTTGTTTTTTTATACTACTTTATTCAACTCGTATATACAAATGAATTCGCTGATCTCCGAAATTTCTTTTAGCAAATCTTAAAAAACAAAAACCACGATAACTATACATCACTAAAGTAAACTATTGCAATCGAACATTAAAGATGCAATTACAAAATAAAATTGCAAGAGATAATAATTTCAAAAATCATCAAATACCACATAATGATATATTGCTTTCTCTTTGTAGCTTTATCGTCGCTAATCGACATGATCGTGAGGGACTGGATGAGAGTGAAGGTGAAAGAAGAGCGAAAAATCATGTTAAAACGTGCCAGAAACACTCGCGTGCTCGCCTTATGCGGAGGAGTGATGATACTTTTCACATTGCTGATCACGATCCCAGCTTTCTTCGGATTGACAGTCAGGCATGTGACAAATCTTACTAATCCTGGCAAGCCCTTGCTAATCCAAGCCTACTACTTGCATGATGTATCCAAGAGCCCGCAATTCGAGCTGACGTTTTTGGTACAAGCAATCGCGCTGACCTTATCCGGTCTCTCTTACACCGGAATCGACAACTTTCTCGGACTACTGATCTTACATATATGTGGCCAAATGGAGAATCTGCATCTGCGATTACTGAATTTAGGAAATAATCCGAATTTCAAAGCAGCTTTAAAGTTTAACGTCAAAGATCACATCCGCTTGATCAGGTTCTCATAATACTCGGACATGGATCCTTTAAGTATTATTGATGAATTAATACCCTGGTGGAAATAATTGTATAACAATTTACGTATTTCTGCGAAAAATTAAAATTTTTAACAACAAATCACAACTTTCTACAAATTTGTGAAAATTGTAAAAATTCATGGTAAGTTGTAGATGTATTGAGTTGTAAAAAAAATTTACAAATTATTACAAGTTTCTACAACTTTTTACGAACATTTTTATAAACGATGTAGTAAATTGTAGAAGTTATAGATTATTGTAAAAATGGCCCAAATCGCATAGTTTACCGTAAAACTTAGAAAATAATCTAAAAAGTTTACTTCATAAAAAATTGTATTTTTTGCATAATTTTCGCGTGAAAAGTTATATAATTATTATTATTATTAATTATTTACACCAGGATAGTAATTGCTATAAACTCTGATTAAATGCTAATTATTATAGAAGCACACATGATATCTACACAACTATATACATTTCACAAACAATAACACATTACTTATAAAATTTCATTCGTCTCTTGTTATCATAGATCTATCGAAGTCGTCGATAACACATTCGATTTAATGCTGCTTGGTCTGTTATTCCTCTTTGGCATACTGTTTTGCCTTCACGGATTTTTAATAATTAACGTAAGTAAATATAATAAAATAGCATGATTTTACGCTGACAATGAGGCAAATGTCAATAATGTGTGCAACGTTTTATTTATCAAATACGTTTATCAAATTAGTATCGTTTCATAAGCATTTAGCAATTTACCAGCAATTTTCATACAATATGATTTTTGAATATAAAACTATAAATTTTTTAATGTAATACAGATTCAATTTATAATAATAACATAGGTTGTTAATCAGGGGGGTCACTTGTCATTTATGCAATTGACTTCATATATCTTAGCTAGTGTATGTGTTTTAATGCACATGTGTCTTTACTGTGCGGTCGGCGAATTTCTCGTGACTCAAGTAAGTAACATAATAATGATTTTAATGATTATATAGAGAGAGTAAATCATCTAATTTTTTATTATCTAGTTTTTTCATAACTTTTGCCACAAACGAAAATTATGAAATAGTTATTGCGTTTTTGTGTGTGTGAGACTCTAAAATTTTAATAATCATATTCATGATGTGTGTATTATTCGAAGTAGCATAAACTACAACATCAATTTGATAATTTTTTATTTGTAGTAGAAATGATAAAAGTTACTATTTCTATTACTATCAATGAATAAATTTAAATGTGTGTGTAAATGTGTCTCTGTATAATCGTTTTATACATATAAAATTTCAATAATTGATCCGACTAAAAAAATGATTTTATTCTTTCCATTCGAATTAATTTGAAGGATCAATTATCATATAAAATAGTATTTTCTCAGTCTGAAAAGATACATTGTGCCACGTATGAATATATATGGTATAATCTGGAAGCAAAGGCAGCAAGAAATATGTTAATCATGCTCCGTGCAAAGAAACCGCTCCACATTACAGCAGGGAAAATTTTTCCGATGACGATGATTACATTTTGCAACGTGAGTTATCTATAATGTATATAATATACACATATTCTCTTTTTACTTTAAATCACATCTTGAAATAATGGCCTTATTGATATCGTTAAACATATTATATAATTTTTAATTATACACATTTATTCCAAAATATTGGAATAAGTTTATTGTAGAGTTAGTATATTTAAATTTCTCTTGTTTTTCTCTTTACTACTAAAAATGAAATTTCAGTTACTTAAAACATCAGCAGGCTATGTATCCGTGTTACTTGCTAATCGAGATTAACAAGAATAAAATTAGAACGTAAATTAATACGTAGACATAATCGATAGTTTAGTATGACATTATAATGCAAAATTATACACTAAATTATTTGTATAAAAATGTTATAGTATATAGAAAGAGAAATATTTGTAAAAAATAAAAGAAATATTGTAAAAAATATTTGTAAAATATTAGAAATACAATATATTTTCTTCACGATTGTTTTATTGATCCTTGCATCGATTTTCGATCGTAAGAATAAAAAGATGAAAGCTAAACATAATCATATACAATAACATTTATATAAGTATATTATTTTTTTTACATACACACACACGTTAATTTTTTATTTTATCCATCTGCTTCTTAAACAATAAATCTCCTTTGGGTTTCAATTTATTATCAAGAATTTGTTGTCTTCTTTGTTTTTCTACTTCCTGCATTTTAGCATGCCTCTCAACAGCATAATCTATCTCTGCTACTAATTTGATAATTCTTGCCTAAAAACAATAAAACGTATACAATAAGAATTAATGAAAAATTAATAAAAATCTCAATTTGCTTCACATACCGCATAATTACGTTGTCTATCTAAGCGTGCTTTTTGTCTTATTCCAAGAGGTGTAGGTTTTCCATCTTTAAATGTATAATCTGGTAAATTAGTCAATGGGCTAAAAGCATTTGGATTGACTGTTAATCCACGTCTAAAAACAGAAACAAATATAATTAATATGTATTAGTGTCATAAAAGTAACACTGAATTAATAGAATAATTAAAAATATCTGATAAATTTAAAATATACTACACATAAGTTAATATTTAAAAAACTTATTTTTTATTTATTAATACTTTTTAAACTGGATATTTTATATAAATATAAATTTAGAAACAATTATTTTATGTTGGATGTTACAGACAAAATAATATATATTATATAACGTTGTATATGCTTAAGCAAGTATAAACAATTTCGGAAAACTCATACTTTTCTCTCCATCTCTGGTTCAAATATCGCGCGCAAGATTGATGAAATCCATTAATCACAATATAATCTGCAATAAAAAAATAATATAAGTATAATAACGATGAGATATATCCTCATAAACTGATATAAATAATTATACTATAAGAAACTTATTCTCACGAAGGCCAAAATTGGCGAAGGATAAGTATATACGAGAGTAGTCGAATGAACGAAAGAATTATAACATCATTGTGTTTGAATAATTTTTTTCTCTTATAATAATACTAACTTAAATATCGCTCTACACGAAGTATGGCTCCAACAGTAATCATATTCGATGATAACATTGTATTAATTCGATGGTAATATTTAACAACTTGCTACTTTTCATTTAGGTTATATGTCAAGCACGGACTTTGTTATACAGTAGACACACCACTATTTTTGCATTTGCTCAATGATACCAACATAAAACATTTTTTTATCAACATCCCCAATTTTCTTTTTATAAAAAGAACATTATAATGTTTCGTGTTCCGAAATTCACTGCCAGGCACAGATATCTATACTACTACTAGATCGCTAACTTCGTCAAAAGAGCTGTGGCCGGCCGGATTCCCGGATTCGGCCATGACACCTTACAACAAAATGGGGGTGCATGTGTAGTGCTTACATAGACATAGTATATCTAGACCGAGTGTTGAGGATTGGGAGCCGATGCCCACGTAGAAAAGGACATACTCTGTTTCGTGCCCCTTGCGTTCTCTCTCGCTCGTGTTACGTGAACTATAGATTTCCAGGCAATCTATGCGCTCAATGCGTGAAACGGAACGCACCTATATACGCACTACACATGCACTGCCGCCATTTTGTTGTAAGGTGTCATGGCCGAATCCGGAAATCCGGCCGGCCACAGCTCTTTTGACGAAGTTAGCGATCTAGTAGTAGTATAGATATCTGTGAAGCAATAATAATTTATAATAAGGTAAATTTAAATTTACAATTTAAATATCGGGTATCACGTACGCACAAACACTAACACACGTCGGGTATCACATACACGCACTACACACGTATCGCCGCCATTTTATTGTAAGGTGTCATGGCCGAAACCGGAAATCCGGCTGGCCACAGCTTTTCATATGTCAAAGCCCGAAGTTAGCGATCTAGGTTTAGTACAAACATCTGTGCTGCCTCTAGTAGTAGTATAGATATCTGTGAAGCAATAATAATTTATAATAAGGTAAATTTAAATTTACAATTTAAATATCGGGTATCACGTACGCACAAACACTAACACACGTCGGGTATCACATACATGCACTACACACGCATCGCCGCCATTTTATTGTAAGGTGTCATGGCCGAAACCGGAAATCCGGCTGGCCACAGCTTTTCATATGTCAAAGCCCGAAGTTAGCGATCTAGGTTTAGTACAAACATCTGTGCTGCCAGGGTATCGATCATGTAACTTTTCCCCTAGGGCGGAAAAATGAAAGTGAAAATTTTTGCCATTTGATTTCAATGCTAATATTTATCACTTTTCACGTTTCCGCTCTAGGGAAGAAGTTACATGATCGGTACCATAGACATAGTATATCTAGACCATAAACATAGTATATCTAGACCGAGCGTTTGCCTTTATTTAAGGAATGGGGGTAAAGATGCACGTAGAAAAGGACATACTCTGTTTCGCTATGCTACATGCGAGTGAGAGAGAACGCAAGGGGCACGGAACAGAGTATATTCTTTTCTACGTGCACCTTGGCCCCCACTCCTCAACACTCGGTCTAGATATACTATTTCTATGATCTAGACCGAGTGTTGAGGAGTGGGGGTCAAGGTGCATATAGAAAAGGACATACTCTGTTCTGTGCAATGAGTAAAGAATCACAGGACAGAGATGCCAATTCTGAGACTCTGCCACCAGCCACAGCGTGTGGAGGGGATAGCGCACACGAGGAAAGAGCCGTGTACGTGTGCTCTCTGCGTTCGGCTAGCTTCGGGCAGTAGAAGAGCGCAGACATATGATCCGCTGCCTCTTTCTCTCCCGAGATATCGCTATAGCTGACGTCTCGAAAATCATACATCGTAGTAGCGTTAACATTAGCGATTTGGCGTGTCTAGCAGATTTCGCGTAAAAACATACAAATTATTAATTAAATAAATCTTCTAATCGTAATTTATTCTATACATAAAAGATATAAAATAATTAAAAAAATAAAGAATAAGAAAAATGTAAAAATGATGAATATCCACTCTTGGCCAACGTGTACGTTTTTTCGCCTTTTGTACATAACTTCTTAAGAAAGCATTTTTCGACCCATGTTTATAGGAAATTTTTTGTTCAGAATTAAATTTCCTATAAGATCTCAAAGTCTGGCTGGAACGTTCGAGGCCACCCTGTATATAAAATATAAATAAATATTATGTACATGAATACGCGTTCACACGTATAATTACCAGCTTATCGAAAACATGGCCAGCCAATATCTCCAAATATTCTTTCAATGTCTCCATAATCATTTTCCAACAATCTATTACAAAAAAATAAAATAAAGATCAATGTGGCTCGTGTATTGCAAAGCAATAAATAAGAAAAATAAATAAATAATGGATCAACTATACGAGCTAAATTAAAGGTGTCAATAATAAAAAAACTTGTGAATACAAGATAATTCTCTTTAATTAAACGTATTTAATTCAAATAAACGTTTCGACTTTACTTAGTCTTCTTCAGTATAACGCAAAAAATATACATAAATAAATTCTGAATAAAATATGTGAAGGTTAACACACTCCTTTGAAGTAATCATGTCAATTTAAAAATAAACATATAGAAACAAATAACTTAAATAAAATAATAAAAAGAAGCTGTGACAAAATGTAAGAGCTTGGTCAGAGGTTAAAAATTAATAAAACTAATTAGCGACAATTAAAACGAGAGGGGCCACGCCGCCGTTTTTCCTGTAACGCTTTCTCTAGCCGGTACAGTGGCGCTAACTGGATCCATTTTAGAGCCGGCGGAACTACGTCGCTGGATCCACTTTTCGGTGCCATGGTAAAACCTTAGAACATATATAAATGGAAGGTGAAGAATGCCTTTGTTTCCCATGGTAAAACCTTAGAACATATATAAATGGAAGGTCAAGAATGCCTTTGTTTCCCGATAGAAAAACATGTCGGAAGGAAGTAAGAAAGAAAATCATAGTTGCCTCTCTCTTGTGAGTTAAACCGATTAAAACGGATTATGTTTTAATCGGTTTTAATCGACCATTTTCGGCAGGGTGTACACAAAAGTATGTATACTACAGACACGATGCTTGTATGTGTAGTTACTCCCAAGAGAGAGGCAACTACGATTTCTTTTTCACTTCCTTCCGACACTTTTCAGCCTGCTATTCCCCTTCCATTTATACAGGGTTTGTCAAAAGTGTGGAAACCCCTAAATAATTTTTGTAAAAATGAAAATATCGAAAAACGGTAAAACACGTATTTTGATTTATCAAAAAAGCTACCCTATGACATGGATACAGATCATTCCCCACCCCCTGGTACGCGGGGGTAAGAGGGGGGTTGAAAATTCTAAATTGGATTAAGGGGTTACATACCTTTGTCGAGTACGGTCTTTTCATAACAAACACACCTCGAATATTAGATGTATTGGGCATACAAATTGGACGAAACGCTTACAATTATTGTCAGCAAGAGGACGCAAACCGGTTGATGCACGCTACACAAATTACAATATGTTCAAGAATTGCAAGACGGAGATCTGGAGCGTCGTATAGGTTTTTGTGAAAGAATAATGGCATTAATAGATGTCCGGCCCATCTTCCCTTATCAAATTCTTTTTACAGACGAGGCAACTTTCACGTTAACGGGAGAAGTTAATAATCAAAATTTTCGTTTCTGGTCAGATGTGAATCCGAATTGGGTGCGGGAAACTCACACACAATATCCACAAAAAATTAATGTATGGTGTGGAATAATAGACGGCTACTTAATAGAGCCGTTTTTTTTTAAGAAAATCTGAACGCTCAAAGATATGAGAGATTACTTGTAGATCAAATAATTCCAGCCATACGAAATATTTTTCCAAATAATTCCGAAGAAATATGATTTCAGCATGATGGAGCTCCTGCTCATTTTGGTTTACGGCCACGTCAAATTTTAAATGAGACTTCTCCATTACGATGGATAGGAAGAAGGAACAGAAATGAGGGAGGAGAGAATTGGCCACCTCGGTCACCCGATCTAACTTCTCTCGATTATTATCTATGGGGATACCTGAAGAGTAAGGTTTACAAAACAAAACCTGAAAGCATCCAAGAATTGATACAGCAAATAAGGGATAAAATAGATCTGATACCTTTTGAGACGAATCATAGAGCCATTTCTGCATTCTATCAAAGATTGGCATATTGTCAGGAAGTAAATGGCAGCCACTTTCAGCATTTACTTTAACACACTGAGTAAAATTTATTTTAAAACACGGAGTAAAAGGTTTTGAATGATTAAAGAGAGATAACAGTTTTCAATCGTCTGTTCTGCAACCTATCACCACTATGTACACATTCACACTTGTTTAGCCACACGCGCCCACACACACATACACACACACACACACACACACACACACACACACACACACACACACACACACACACACACACACACACACACACACACACACACACACACACACACACACACACACACACACACACACACACACACACACACACACACACACACACACACACACACACACACACACACACACACACACACACACACACACACACACACACACACACACACACACACACACACACACACACACGGGATCAAATTCATGCCACTTCCACGCAGTTGATCCTGGATAACATTAAGTGCATGAAATTTCGAAATTTGAACGTCCGCCATTTTGAATGAGGGGGTCGTGCCGATTTAAAATTTTAAGGGTGTGTTTGTTATGAAAAGACTTTTCAAACGAGCCCCCACTCGACCCTTAATCTAATTTAAAATTTTCAACCCCCCTCTTACCCCCGCGTACCAGGGGGTGGGGGATGATCGGTATTCATGTCATAGGCTAGCTTTTTTGATAAATCAAAATACGTGTTTTACCGTTTTTTGATATTTTCATTTTTACAAAAATTATTTAGGGGTTTCCACACTTTTGACAAACCCTGTATATGTTCTAAGGGTAAAACGGTCGATTGGTGCTAGATCCACAATTATGGATCTAGCATAGACATACATCAATCGACCGTTTTAATTTAAAATACGAAAATATTATAGATTTATTAATATTTTATGTTAGCTGCGCGTGATTTATTTTTATTTTAATACATATTATGGACGGTATATGTGTTATTGAAATTATTATAATTATTTTATGTATATCATCTAATGTAAAATATATGTATCAAGGACATAATTCTGAGTAACTTTTTCTTCTAATTTAATCGTCGCTCGTTTAAAAAGTTATTAACAAACAAAAATTTGTAAAAATCAAGATTTATACATAGCCTGACAATGAAAAACTGGATATTTAAGTTAGTTTACAGAAATAGTCC